CAGCTGCGCTGGACCAGGGTCACTGAGGCCCAGCTCTGCTGATGGGAAGAGGGAAGCCAGGGGCGGGCCCAGCGCCTCCCCGCTCATCCTACCTCTCTCCTCGCTCTCTTTCCTGTCTCTCTCACTCCTGTCTTCTCTCCTCCCCTCCCCCTCTCTCTGTCTCTCCTTTTTCTCTTCTGTCTCTCTTTGTCTCTCCTCCCTCTCCTCTCTCTCTGTCTCTCCTCCCCTCCCCTCCCCCCCCCCCCCCCCCCTTCGGAAGCATAGAAGGATGAATGCTGACATCTCTCTCTCTCTCTCTCTCTCTCTCTCTCTCTCTCTCTCTCGGCTCACTGTAGCTCAGGATACCCTGGAACTGGCTATATAGCCCAGTCTATCCTTGAACTTGTGATGACCCTCTTTTCTTCATCTCCTGAGCCTTCATATGTCACACACACACACACACACACACGTCCTTCTATGAAATTTCAGGGGTTTTTTGAGGGGGTCTTTTAGACACAGGGTCTCTCATGTATTTTTGAAATATATAACTCTTCATAACTCTTATAGTGCACATTATTTACAAGTTATTTTGTAAAGTATGTGTGCCCTTTTGGAAGAATACTGCACAAACATGAGGACCTGAATTCAGATCCTTAGCACCTACTTAAAGGTGTGGCGGCATGCATCTATAAGCCCAAGACTGGGAAGGCAGAGACAGGCAAATTTTCCTGACTTGCTGGCCGCCAGCCTAGCCAAATCGATGAACTCCATGTTGCTGGCCGCCAGCCTAGCCAAATCGATGAACTCCAGGTTCAGCGAGACATGCTATCTCAAAAAATAAGGTGGAGAGTGAGGTGTCTAGGGGTCCAGGAGTGGGTTTGTTTCTTCTGCTAATTAAAGAGTTAAAAAGCTAAAGAATTGTTGCCTGAAATCTTGGGGAGTCCCAGCAGTGCCATCATATGACACCTGGGAAACCCAAGTCTTCTCTTGGGGTTCTTAGTCTCATTAATAAAAGAATTTAAGAGAGGACACAAATGGAAGCTCGAGGACAAAGAATGGACTCAAATGGAAACTGGAGGGCAATTTAAAAGGAAAGTCCCAGGACAGGGGAGCTGAAATCTCCCAGCTACTTGGAAGGAAGGAGGGGAATAGAGACTGGAGGAACAAAGCTGTGCTGGTCAGCCATCTGGAGCAGGCAGCCATAGGCAGGTGGGGAGAGCTTTAGAAAAAGAGCAAGCACTAGTCAGGGAGCTTAAAAGCATACTTAGGCTCTGGCTAGCATCCAAAAGAAAAAGAAGAGAGAAAAAGAAATAGTTAAGCCTTTTTGAGGACAGGTGGACAGCTGAGCCTCATGGTGGCTCATAGGGATGCACTAGGGAGTGGGAATCCAGGGAAGGAAAAGCACATTATCTTAAAGTGAACCTGCCTTCCTGGGGGTGATCACCCAGCCAGGTCCCTGACCTGCCCCATTAGGTTAATTCTTAAAGGAGACAAGGGCATGTCTCCACCTGGTGGTAGATTTCATTTTTTATGGGATGTCAACCTCTGGCTTCCATATGTACATGTGCACACATACAGACCCCCCCCCCCCAACCCCTGCACATATACCGGGACTCATGGAATCGGGTCTCCACAAATCCACTGTATAATGTCAGAACATAGCTGAACAGGGTTTACCCATATGTAAAAATGAGACTGATGCTCAGTGGTCTCCAATGATGGCCCGACCCCACCTGCTCTTGGCAGTGTCTTCAGGCGTCTAGAACATGAGGAGGAAGTCCACCCCTTCCCTTTAGCCAAAAGGCCTTCCATAGTTTCTTCTGGATGGAGCATCATGTTCCAGGCCACATACACACAGGTGGTAAGCACTGAAAACCTTCACATTCTAGGGCCAAGATTTCTTCCTGTATAAGGAGAACCTCAGAGGCCCTCCTGTGGGTTCAGGGAAGGAAGGAGTCAATGACCATCTGGGTCTGCAGCCTTGGCAGGTGATACAACTCTGGCAGTTACCAGCTGGACCTAGTTGGCATTGGGAATTATTTTTCTGGAGAACCCTGGGCAAGCTTGGAGAAGGGCATTGAGAAGGGATGGGGTACATTTGTAGAAAATATTATACATACATACATACATACATACATACATACATACATACATAGTCTGTCTATGCCTAGGAGTCCTGCTTCCTGCCAGACTTTAATTATATCTAGCCCCAAGGCCCTGAAGTGACTTTGTTCTTACCCAGAGGGCAGCGACTGTGAAGTTTCTAGACAGAACTCAACCCAGGGGAGGGAGGTGTGGTATTTGGAGACTTCCAGCACTCTCCTAGCTGAAAAATGGCCAGGTTCATGTTCAGTGGATGATACTGTCTGAAGGGAATGAGGGGAAGACTGAGGGAGCCAGACACCCAATGTCTCTGCCTTCTGTATGCAAGCAAGCATGTGAACACATGCATACACATGCGAATGCATGCACACATGGAAACTCAGTTGGGCTAGGGATGCAGCTCAGTTGATAGGGTGCTTGCTTAGCATGCAAGAAACCCTGGGTTTGAGCCCCAGCACTACAGAAAATGGAGCATGATGATACACACCAGTAGTCCTACCCTTGGGAAGTGGAGGCAGGAATACCAAAAGTTCAAGAAGCTGGGGAGATGGCTTAGTGGGTAAAATGCTTGCTGGGTAAGCCTTAGGATCTGAGTTCAGATCCCCAGCACTCAGGTAAAAAATCAGTGCAGTGGTACCCATCTGTAATTCCAGTGCTGGAGGTCTGGGGGAAACAGATCCTTGGAGCCCACAAGCCAGGAGCCTAGACGATCAGTTCATTGAGTGAGACCGTGCCTCAGAAAATAAGAGGAGGGCGGCTCATCTCCGCTGATACTCTATCCCACTCTGGTAACCAGTCACCAAAGTGCCACGAAGACAGGACCTCGTCTTTCCAATCCCATACAGAGAGCCTTCTGGTGGGGGACACTCCACAGTATCTATGGATAGATGGCTTCCAGAGACATGCCAGGACTGAGGGCCTGGCCTGGTCTTGCCCTGTGCTCTGACCCCCATATCCTCACAGGACACACAGAGGGCCTGGCATCTGGTATTGGCATTCCAAGCTTCCAGCTGTGCCACTTCCAACCCATTAGATCTAATGTTTGGGGACGCCCTGCACAAAACAGATGCCATTAGAAAACCAAATTCTGTACCATACGGAAGCACAGCTAACAGAGCACAGAGCAGGTTAGGAGGGAAGACTGATGAGCCGGGTCCCTGGAAAACAAACGAGGGGAGTTGGCTCTGCCAGGTTCTTTTATTTATTACACTTTCCGTTAAAGGAACAAGCTACCTGGCTAGTCTCTGCTGCCCGGGGCAGGGAGTGTTAGGGATGAGAGGTGCAGGGTCTCTCAAAGCTCAAAGAGGCATGCGGGGGCAGGGTGGGGCCTGAATGGCCACTGGACACTGGACAGGGGTGGGGGTTCCGGCCTTGAACCTCACCTGCCTCTCATGGTAATTCCTAGGCCTTGATCTCTCTGTCTCTGTCTCCTCTTTCGGTCTGTCACCACACACACACACACACACACACACACACACACACACACACACTTTCCCTGAGCTGCTAGCAGGGAGAAGAGCCTTACTCCTGCAGGGGGCGGTGCTGCTCTCTCCAGTTTCCACTCCAGCTCCAGCCAGGAAGTCAGTGGGAAAACTTTTTGTTTCTTTTCTATCATCTGGGACATTGGAAAAACAAGTTTTTTCCTTCTACAGACTCAACCTCTACAATCTTGGCAGCCAATGATAAGACCAGCATATGAGAGAATGATGCCATTTGGGGAAACTGAGGCCTTTGGGGTCAAGGCAAGAATAATTTAAGCATGTCTGGAGCAGGTAGGCCTCTCAACTAAATAAAGATCTATTATGCGCCAGGAACTATCCCAGCTCCTGGAACACAGATGGGAGGAAGATAAGGCATTCCTCTGTGGAGCTGAATGTTCTACAAGAGCGGAGACGTACCGACACACTACCAGGATAACCAGGTCAACATGAAGGAAAGGAGCAAGGAAAACATGGGTACAGTGGCACAGCGGGGTGGACAGCCTCAGCTGGGAGGTGCCACATACACTACAGCCTGACTGGGAGAAAGCAGCCCAGCCAGAGGGAAGTGGGAGCACCAAATGCAAAGGCCCTGAGGTGGAGACCATGGCTAAGGTAGTGACTGGTGAGGTGGAGACCTGGGGGACGTGGCTGAGGTGGAGACCCAGGGGTATGTTCCAGACCAATGAAATCAGAGTGCATGATGGGAAAATAGCAGTAGAAGAACCTGGTGAGACGCTGGGACATCAAGAATCTTGCAGGGTCCATAAGTTTCATTCTAGGCATGATGTAAAATATTACTAGGTTTTCTCTTTCTTTCTCTCTCTCTCTCTCTCTCTCTTTCTCTCTCTCCTCTCTCTCTCTCTGGCAAGGTCTCATGTAGCCCAGGGTGGCCTTCTCTCTCTTTCTCTCTCTCCTCTCTCTCTCTCTGGCAAGGTCTCATGTAGCCCAGGGTGGCCTTCAACTTCTATGTAGCAAAGGATGACTTGGAACTCCTGCCTTCTGAGTGCTAGGATTACAGGTGTACACCACCATGCTGGTCAGACTTGGTTTTTCCTCTTGAAATAAGGTCTCATGTAGACCAGGCTGGTTTTCAACTTGCGATTTCTCCTTTCTCAGCCTCCCGAGAGTTGAGGCATGTACCACCATGGCTGATTGTGACTTAAACAAACAAACAAACAAACAAACAACAAAAACCTTTCTATTAGCCAAAACAGAAGCAGAAACAGCCCACATTTCCACTGCCTGGATATATGCTACATCATAGTTAAGCCTTAGGGAAAGAAGCCAGATGCGGAGGCCACAGATGCTAGGAGATGTTAGGAGTGGGCAGATCCATGGAGACAGAGTGGATGAGGGGTTGGTTGCCAGGGCCTGGGGCAGGAGGTTATGCATGACTACTAATGGAGGCAATGTTCCTTTCCATTCTAAGATTAGATGGAATTGAATGATTGTCAATACACTAGAATATTAATTTTATACTTTAAATGGCTGGGCTTCATGGCATTCACAGCAAAGCTGCTTGAGAGTTTTGTTTACTGAGACAGAGTCTCATGTATTCCTGGATGGCCTGGAACTCACTATGTAAGGCTGAACATCACCTGAGCTGGGGCAGTGCAAGCTCTGGAGAGACACTGAAAGATGCAAGGAATGTTCTAGAGCCAGATCTGGGACTTGCTGGTGGGTAGGAGGTAGGGAGAGCGTGGGCTTTGATCTCAAGCCTGTGGTGCCATCCAGAGGGAGTAGCCTGGTCCAGTTGGGTACAATGCACTGCAGTAGGGTGTCAGGGGCACTTGTGGGGGTGGGGAGGTTGGGGCCTGGGCTATTAAATCCAGAGCTGCCAGCATGTGAATGGCACTTAAAGCTGCACAATTCAATGAGGTCACAGGAGGAGGGAAGGGAGCAGCGGCCTTTGGCTTGGATGGCTGCAAACGGTGGCGGTGGCGCTGTGCCTTGGAGCGTAGAGAGACGTTGGCTGCATTCACAGGCACAGGGCTGGGGCTGTGAATAGCCACAAAGCAGATCTATACTGGGGAAGTGGTGTGTGGGGAGCAGCTGGAGGCATGACAACCTTTTGGGAACAGCTGTCTGGCCTGAACCAGTATCCTCCTCTACAGGTAGGGTGCCAGCTTTTCCTGCCTGACCCTCCCTCCCAAGGCAGTGGCAAGGGTCTGTCCAGGTTGGGCAACCAGAATGAATTGAGCTTCCCACATTCCCCAGGTGGAGGGGCCTCCAGGCCAGCACTTCCCTCTGCAGCCCCTTCCTCCCACCTCTATCCAGCTGCAGCCAGAGCCCCTGGACAGCAAATCACTATTCCAGTTTCCCAATTTCCGTAGATTTGGGCTAATGGCAAACGCTGGCTCAATGCAAAAAGCAGAAAACATTCAGATTTATTGCTTTGAGAGTTTGGTCTGTCTCCTGGGCCTGGTTCATGCAGTTTCCTCTAAGTTTCAGAGCATTTTATTTAAAAAGGAGAATTTCTGATGGCAGTGTTTTGTCTTACATTTAAGCCAGGCTTTATAGTTTACAAAGAAGTCAGCATAGTAACAATTACAATCCTCACTGCTGTGTATTGAGTTCCTATAGGATGGGGCTCAAGTAATCCCACTGTTTTCCACCAATGGAGAAGCTAGGCTCAGAGAAGTTAAAGGGTTTGCTCAAGGCCACACAGCCCAGGGCTAGACACAGCTGGATGCAGGTCCAGCTGGCTTGTCGCAATGCCTCTCTCCTCACTTCTCAGCTTCACCCTGGCCTACCTCGGGCCATCTGCAAGTAAGTCGTGAGCAAGAGAAACCAAAAATGGGGCAAAACCTAGGAAACGGTCAGGAAACAGGCTAGAACAGGATAAAAATAACCAATCGTGCACTGGGGGACCCTTGAGTCCCCGAACAACACATTTTATGCTAAGATTATTTTTGCCGTGGTGCTGCAGGGGAGCGTGCCTGGCAAGGTTTGAGGAGGGCGCTGGCTTTCCACATTCTAATTCCGTGCTGGCTAAATGGCAGCCTGTAACCACATGTGGCTGTTTAAATTGAAATGAAAAAAATTAAAATTTCAGTTCCTCTTGTCACACCTGCCTCAGCTGCATCATTCTACCTCCAAGGCACCTGTCCGATCCCAGGCAGCACAGAACCGTGGGAAATCCAGCTCTGTTCAGTCACCGGCTGCCTGTTCCTATAGGTGACAGGCACAACTGTTTTGATATAGGTTCCTCTGCAGCTGAGGTACCTATAGATGGCCACCAGAGCATCAGGGATGCAAAGAAAGACAGCCAAGGCCTAGCCTGGAACCAAGGCAAGTCCAGCACCCAACCAAGAGATGAGGTCTCATGATCTTGTAGAACACACACCTGCCCCCCCCCCTTTTTTTTTTTTTTTTTGTCTTTTTGAGACTCTCCCTGTAGCTCCATCTGCCTGGAACTCGCTCTGTAGACCTGGCTGGCCTTGAACTCACAGAAGACCTGCCAGCCTCTGCCTCCCAAGTGCTGGGATTAAAGGCGTGCACCACCACGCCCGGCTACCTTTTCTGAATCAGAGATTTTCACTGAACATGGAGCTCTCCAATTTGGCTGTGCTGGCCAGCTGAAGGAGCCTCCCGTCCTCTCCTCCCCAGAGCTGAGGTTATATTTGGGTTTTACATGGGTTCTGGAGACTCAAGTCTTCATGCCAGTGAGGCAAGCACTTTATCCACTGAGCCATCTCTCCAACCCTGCAGAACTCACACCACACCTGTACGATGTTAACAAGGTCCCCAGGCACACTGAGCTCTGACTTAGGAGTCAGTCTGAGCTGGTGAAAACACTGTTCCAGACAGGAAGCCAAGCATGTTTCCAGCAGCCACAGTGCCCCTGCCCCCAGGAGCTGGAGATTAAGCCTTAATTATATGGGCCCCACTCAGCTCTGCACCATGTGGCACATGGACAGATGCCCAGGACAGACCCCATGGAGACAGCTGGAGGCTGCTCACAGACCAGCTGTGGTACCATCTCACACTGACTGAGCCACCTCCACAAAACAAAGGGAGCAGGAAAGAACTCCATTTTTTGTGGGTGCTGGAGATGGAGCCCAGGGTCTGGTACACTCTAGGCCAAGTTTGGAATGTGTGTGTGTGTGTGTGTGTGTGTGTGTGTGTGTGTGTCTGTGTGGGTGTGCGTGTGCGTACACTAGAGGTTGACGTCTAGTTTCTTCCTCAATTGCTCTCTACCATTTTTGTCCTGTTTTGGTTTTTTTGAGACAGGGTCTTACTATGTAGACCAGGCTGGCCTCGAACTCACAGAGCTCCTCCTGCCTCTGTCTCCTGAGTGCTGGGATTAAAGGCACACATCACCACGCCTGGCAGTCTCCATCATATTTTTGAGACAGGGTCTTTCACCAAACCTAGAGCTCATCAGTTAGGCTGGTCAATGAGCTCTAGAGATCTGCCTGTCTCTGCCACCCCAGGGCTGGGATTACAGACAGGTGCCACCGACCTTGGCACTCACATAGGTGCTCGGGATCCAAATTCGTTTTCATGCTTGCACCGCGAACACTTCAACTGAGCCATCACCCCAGCCCCTAGTTTTGATATTCTTCACAGCTTGTCTGGGATTCTGAACATACAGGTGGTTTGACAGAGGCACCAGGCCAGGCTGTGACCTCTGGCCACTGTGTGCTGCTCCCAGGGCTCAGGGCCTGGGCAGGTGGTGAGGAAACTTCCTAGGAGAAACTAGCATTGAGTTGCTCGTGTAGAAAACAGGAGTGGAAGGTGGATCTGTCCCTAGGAATTTGAGGACAAAGACGGGCAGGAGGCAGGGACTGCTGTGGGGAAGAGTGATCCAGAGCTGAAGCCAGGCTCTCTCCTGCTCCTGAGGGCTGACTCATCCCCAGTGCCAGTGCCGTCTCCTCTCAGCTGCCTCCGGCCGTCCTTATTTTTAATCCCTGGTATGAGTTCTGATGACATTTCCCCACCTGCAAGGGCCCTCCTGGAGGATGGATGTTAAAATAGTCAATTTTACAAGTTGCTCCCAGCAATACAGAAGACAAGGGTGCTGGGGAAAGAAAAGGGAGACAGAGACACCGGCCTGGTGGGGAGCCGGAAGTCTCTCTGAGAGGGCTGAGTGGCTTTAGGAGAGGCATTGTAGTTGATCCTGAGGGGAGATCTGGGCAGGACGGGGGAGGTGAGGCCCCAGTGCCCTTCACAGCTCTTTAGAGTTCTACAAGAAGCCAGGCAAACTGAGCCTCCCTGAAAGCCTCACCACTTAGGTTGGGGCTCATTATATGGGTAGCAAAACCCATTTATTTCCTCCATGGAAATGGCCTGGTCTTGGTGGGTGTGTCAAGACGGTGCTCCATCTTTGGCTGTGGGTCAGTTTTCACCCCAGGCCAGGCCCAGTGGAAAGGAAATACAGTAGGATCTTGGAGTTTTGGGCTCAGCTGTTTTGATGGGGCACTGGGGGGTACCCCTGGTTCTTTTAGGACCTCTGGCCACCCAATTCTCTTTACTGTCCTTCTTGAGGTCTGAGATACCCTTTGACATTACTCTTTTTTAAACATTTTATTATTTTAATTTTATGTGTATGAGTGTTATGCCTGTGTGTAGGTAAGTGTATCAGTGCCGTGCAATGCCTGCAGTGGACAGAAGAGGCTGTCGGATCCCGGTATGAGTGTATTGCCTGCATGTTTGTAAATGCACCCATGTCCTACAATGGTCACAGAGGTCAGAAGAGGGCATCAGATCCCGTGGAACTGGATTTATGGACAATTGTTAGCTGCCATGTGGGTGCTGGGATTCGAACCCGGGTCTCCTGCAAGAACAGCCAGTATTCTTAACCGCTGAGCCCTCTCTCCAGCCCCGACACCCACTGACATTTCATTTTTTTTTCTTCTTCAGTTATAGAGAAAATAAGTTTCTATTTTTTTGTAATTAAGATTCCCCCCTCAAAGACACAAACTCAAATGCCCAGCAACACAGGTTCAAATATACACAGCATGAGACAGCACGCAGCGGAAAACTACACAGCCAGGAACAGTGATGACATACGTGTATATTTGTTGACATGGAAAGAGGTTCACAATATATAGTTAAGTGCAAAAGCAGATTATAAGAAAACAGTATCCATAGGGTGATACCATGTTTGCAAAATATATATATTCTATATATTCATAGAAAAAGGTCTAGAAGAAAATATAATTGTATTCGTTCCAGAAAGTAGGATGGCAACTGATTTTTCTTTCCACTTATCTTAGTTTCCTAATTGTCCTGTGGTGTTTGTGCAGTAAGTTTTCCTGTTTTGCCTTTTCTTTGAAAGTATGTGTCATGGGTGTCAGGAGACCCACTTCCATGACGCCTGGCAACAGAGCGTAACCGATGAGTCCAATACCAGTGTTCCTGCTACAGGGGCTGTACATGCACGGCTCTGCTCAGAATGAGATGGGGTATCTGAGCCTTCAGAACAAGGAGGCAGAACGTCCTGTACCCCAGGATACCAGGAGCATCTCACTAGTTTTTACGGAAACCTCAGGAGGTGGCAGTTCATGGGAATTCTCCCTCTGCTGATGGTGAAGAGCCCAGAGAGGGAAACCTCCTGCCTGTGGTCACACAGGCCAGGCCAAGAGCTCCAACGCCCTGAAGGCTAGTCAAGTTTACAAGCACAGCCTAATGAAATGGCTGTAATGGACTCAACCTTATCCTGTGACTTTAGCTGTGGCCAGGCTTCAAGTGTGTCCAGGACAGGGAGGAAACCCTGTCACTTTGGTACAGTGACCTGGACTCCTTGCTATGCAGAAGACCTCTGGGTTCACAGGGCACCAGTGGTGGGTACAGGGAGGGTGGGAAGAAGTCTGGGGTAGCGGATCTCCTCCCTCTAAGGCATATCTTTCCTACGGGTCCTACTTAACTTTGGGGTTGTGGTTTGAGGGTCCCCTGCCCAGCGAGGCTCTCCCTAACCCCTTACTAGGTCCTGACCACTGCTGGCTCAGCTCTGTGTCTCCTTGGTGACACTTCCAATGACTTGAGATCACTTCACTACTCTGGGGGTGCCTGTATGATCTGACCCCCTGACTGCTTGGCTCTGACCATTTCATTCTCAGCCTTGTCCCTGACGTGTAGTCCAGCATCTGGTCTGTGGCAGGTGCTTATCAAGTATCCTCTGAATAGTGGCAGACAAACAAAGGAGCTGGGGCTGGGAGACCCCCACAGGCAAGGCCCACCTCTGCCATTTTTCTGGCTGTGTGACCTCAGGCAAGTAGCTTGTCCTCTCTGGGCTTCTTCCAAGCTTCCTTCTAAGCATGCATACCCAACTCCATATAAACGGCCAGCCTCAGGCTTCCTGAATCTATTGGGGCTGATTGAAGGTAGAGACTAGAAGCTGGACTGTTTACTACATTACACTCTGGATCAGCTGCCAGCTGGTGACTGTTTCTGATGACAGCCTCGCAATGATTTTCTCAGGAGCCACTGTTGTGCAATGAGTCCAATCTTATTTCTTATTCAATAAACTCCTTTATTCTAGTTCACATATTTTTCCATTACAATAATGAAAATAGCACTAGTGATCTGTAACACTTGGGACCAAATCAAAGAACCCCTCCTCAAATACTAAGGTTAAGTGACACGTGGTTCAACAGAGTCAACGTTGAGCAATAGGTGTTAAAAACAGACGACAGGTCAGGACTGCATGTGTGTGTTCTCCTGGAACAGGGTGACACTGTCTTAGCAAGTGCATAATTTTGAAAATTATATTTGTAATTGTCATAAAACTGAAGTGGAAAGAAAAGGCAAAAATCAAGCAAAACCCAAACCCCCAAACCAAAAGGAAGCAAATCAAATACATGGGGTAGATACGCAAACCTCTGATCCTTTGGCCCCGCAATAGCGAGTGTGGGGTTCGTAGAAACTCTCCTGTAGAAAGGTACATGTGGGTGCAGGGGTGGGGGGACACCACAACCCAGGCTTGACGCCGCTGCATCACCAGGTCCTGTCTCCTCACAGAGGAAAAGAAGTCGCCTGCCCGGCACGAGTCCGGGGTCTGCCTGGGACCGGCTGTCCCCAGTGCCACTGAGAAAAGTCCCAGATCCCAAGATGGCATCCTGGGACACCAGGGCAGAGAAGGTGGGTCAGTGGTGGTGCACAGTCCCACCTGAGCTGTCAGAGTGGTTGACAGGCAGCGGATGGGCCTCAGTGTTGAACACCCAGTCCTCCAGTGAGAACACATCATCTTCAGAGAACAGAAGATAGAGGTATCTGTATAGCGGGGCAGGGAAGGAGAGAGTGGTCAGCATGGAGGGAGGCCTGCTAGAGGAGGGTACATCTGTATCTGCCAGGGCTGGTCCTGGGGATGCTGAAGTCTTGGAGTCAGAGGACCTGATTTAATCCTGGCCATCAGCCACTGCTTCATTTCCTGGCCTGCCCTGCTGTGAGCCCTGCTGACCTTGGGACCTAGCTTCTCTCTCGGTCAGGTGGCCTATGGTCTATACCTACCCAAACTCTTACTCAGCTCCTGGAATGCTACCTTCAAGCTCAAATGCCCACAAGGCAATGATACAGCAGGAGTGTCTCTGGAACTCCAGCTTCTAGGACATGGACTTTACATGAAGGAGCTGCCGCAGTGGGGCAGAGCCCAGTGGCCTGCTCTGGGGACATCAAGGAAGAGGAATGTCCAGCTATATTCCAAGTAGGCAGGAGGCTGCCCATGGGCAGGGGACACGGGACAGTCCCAACAGCACCCAGTATGGATGCCACATGGAGGGTGACATTCTTGGAGAGCCAAGTGAGTAGCCAAGGAACACTGCCATGGTCAGGGCTGGGGCTGCATTTGCTCTCTCTGGCTCTCTGAGAGAATCAGGTCTCGCTAGAGGACCATGTGGACCCCACATCTCACTTGGTGTGGGCTCCATTCTGTGACTACCAAGCCAGGCCATACTCACTTCAGTGTCTCGGCCAGGAAGAAGCTCTGCTGCCTATTGTCGTAGTTGGAGTTGCTGCTGTACACGTCCTGGATCCCCGAGAAGCCGGCATCTGTCCGGCAGTGTTTCTCTAGGGCCTGAAGGAAGGGAGTGGCCTCAGCATGGTGAGGAGAGGCCTGGTGGCTGGAGCTCTCACCAACACACAGGCCCAGCCTTCAGCTGGCCACCCTGGGAGCCTGGGCTGGGTCAGCCTTCCCAGGAGCTGCCCACACGTGCTGCCCCAGAGACCTCCTCGAGCAACCGAGCAATTCCCTGGCCTGAGTCTAGTGTAGGTTTTTCTACCTTCCAAGGACCCACATGATGACACTTTGATCACAAAAGTGACTAGATCAAGGATGGCTGCTGGTGATCTGCAGGGGGCTGCTGGGACCCAGGGAGCATACTCAGGACACCTGGAGGCTTCTCTAGCGAAAAGGTCAAGCGCCAGGGCCTCAGGGAAGCAGGGCCCTGGAGAGTGGTCCATCCTGGATGTGTGCAGCTCCCACCTCCTAGGTGCTCCTAGGATAGTCTGTCCCCAAAGCAGGTTGGTGTCTTGTGGGGCACAGGGGCTTATGAGGAGAGGGACAGAGGAGGCTTAGCTCCCATCAGTGAATTTTCTGGAAGTGCCACCCCTGCCTTTACACTGACCCCTAGGAGAGCCTGAATTCTATCTAGTGCTTGGGACAGAGGGATGACTCTGGGAGGGTAAGGGGACTGGGCCCTGTTTCAAAGCAGCTGTCTCGAGCAGCCTGTCCAGGCTCTGGGGCCAGGAGCATGTCTGCTAGGGCATGGCAATCAGATGGTGCTGGGGGTGGCCACTAGCTTTGCCCCCGAGTCTGCTGACCATTAGGCCTGGACCCTAAGGTTACAGACACAGGACCCTCCCTAGCAGTGTCAAGCCTCCTTAGGGAGGCTTGCCCAGAGGTGGGATCCTGGTTTTGCAGGCCCCTGCCCAACACTCCCATCCTGTCCCTTGGCCAGAGGGCAGCCAGGGGCTTCTCAGGAGCACCCACCACCCTGACACTCACTCACCATCACCATCTCCCATCCCCACTCCCTGTAGATGGGGTCGTGTGTTTGCCGCCACAAATACATGTAGCTCTCCACCACCTCAGGCCGCAGGATGTAGTAGCTCTCACTCAGCTGTGTAGCCACTGCCTCTTGGCCAGAGTTGAACCAGAAGGCCTCAGGTCCCAGCTTGGTGTCTGTGGGAACACACCAGCAGCCCTATCAGAATTCCTACTTCTGGCTTCTCTGGAACAGCTGCCTAGGATGGACGTATGTGTCTACAGCGCCTGAGCAGGACAGTGGTACGGCGTGGGAGTTTGGGGCTCAGGATCAGAAAACGCAGTCAAGAAAGACAACACTGTGTAGTTCTTAAGTTTTGAGACAGGGTTTCATGTAGCTCAGGCTGGCCTTGAACTTGCTGTGGAGGGGAAGATGACCTTAAACTTCTCCACTCCTGTCTCCACCTCCCAACTACTAGGATTATAGGCTGTGCTGCTATGCTCAGTTTAATGCAGTGCTGGGGATCAAACACATAGCTTTTGGTATGCTGGGTAAGCACTCCACCAATCAAGCTGCATCTCCAGCCCCCCAGGTGGTACAGGAGACATTAGTTCTGGCCAACATGTCAATTAGAGTGCTGAAAAAGTCTTCAGAACTTAGCAGATCCTTTACTATGACACGTCTGTCTGTCAAGGATTTTCTTGTTTATTCATTGTGGAGGAGGGCCCAGCCCACCGTGCAGCACCATTTCCTGGACCTACAAGCCAGCTAGCAAGCAGTCAAGGTCTTGCTTGAGTTCCTGCCCTGGCTGCCCTCAATGAGGGGCTACGACCTATAAACTGAAATAAACCTTTTCTTCCCCTAAGTTGCTTTTGGTCAGAGAGTTTTTATGACAGAGAGTCTCACTATGTAGCCCTGGCTGGCCTGGAACTCACTATGTAGACCAGGCTGGCCTGAACTCAAGAGACTAGACTGCCTCTGCCTCCTGAGTCCTGGGATTAAAGGCCTATGCCACTACACCCGGCCCCATTTTTGCTTTCTGCAGGACCCAGCATGCTGCCATTTATGACTCCCAGGGCTCTGCTGGGCACTTTACATCATCTCCATCTTTAGTTCTTTCTCTCTTTTGCTAAAAGCAATCTCTCTCTCATGCATATGGAAACTGAGAGTCAGAGAGGCTAAGTTATTGTTCAAGGCCACACAGCAAGTCGTGCCTGAGCCAGGTCCTGCTCTATCTCCTCCTTGGCCTGCGTTTTGCCTCTCCTGCTAGCACGTCCGTCTTGAGTGTGTCTACTCCTTCCTGTCTGGGTTTTGAACCTATGAGGCCCTAGGGGGAGGGCTTTTCCTCCAGAGCCTGTTGGCACTTTGGAGGCCAGTTTATCTTCCTAGAGGGCTTCCTGGAAGAAGAGACAACTAGACTCACCCCCCTCACCCCTACCCCTGCCACCTCCCTTGTTCTTTTCAGATGGCCCAGCAGTTCTGCCCCCGTGAAACTGTGGTTCTGCCAAGTTGCTAATGGGGGTGAGGCGGGCAGTGGCGGCGCTGCCAGCAGAGAGCCAGGCTGGTTGGGACAATATGCTTGATTAAGTGGCTGTCTTTTACAGCGCTGGCTGATTATCCCAGACAGACAGCCAGCTCTTTATTATTCCTGAGATTTCCTATTTGTTTACGGACCGAGCCCATCAACAAAAAAGAGAGTGCAAGGCTAGTTTTCAGTCTGGGGCCAGCCTGGCTCTGAGAACCTACTCCAGGCACTAAGGAACATGCCTGGTTTCTTGCTGGGCTGCTTAGGGACAAGCTTGTGGGGTCTGTGGCTGACAACAGCTGCTGCCGGCTCCTGGGGCCATGGGGTGCACTTTCAGGCGGCCCAGCAGTAGGAGGTGGGTTTGGATGGCAGAAGATCTTGTTCTCAGCCATGCTCAGGAAATCACATGTGGTATGACTTTCCGTTTGCCTCTCTGGGCTGGCTCTGTTTCTCCAAGTATAAAATAAGGCTCTGGGTCCATGCCCTCAGGAGAATGCTTCTTTGACAGCTCTGTGTATATGCATATGAGCCACAGGCCTTCAAGTTTGCTGGTGGTTTTGTATCAGAGTGACTAGCCCTGGGGCCATGAGATGGCAGCCAGCCCTACAGAGAGGGATGTGGGATGTGGGGGAGGAGGGAGAACACAGGCAGAGAGTACAGACCCGGGACTCAGGAAGAGGGAATCTGTTGGGCTTTAGTGGCCAACATTTCTGTCACAGGGGTTGGAGGACCTTCTGTTCTGTGCGCCCCCAACCTCAGCCAAGTCACTTCTGAGCCTGTTTCCCCATTTATGTTGGGGGGGGCTCGGCAGTGATATATGTTAAGTGCTGGACATGGCTTTACCATGGATACAATTAGTGCCTAGAGTGCTCACTCCTCATCAAATTCCAGTAACTTTGCAGGAGACAGGAAACGTATGTATATGCCCCATCCCTCACCCACCATCCACACCCAACCCATGCTGTTCTGGCCAGTGCCTCCCAGTATCTAGCCTGGGTCTCAGATGCTGCCCTTTCCCCTTGCATGGTTACCTGAGCGGGCATAGGACTCGTGGCACGTCCTGGTGATCTGAGCTGCCAGCTCTCGGTAATGGGTCCTCTTGTCTTCTTTTGCATCCTCAGCACCCAGAGCAATCATGCCACCTGAGAAGCAGGCCAGGTGCCCCATCTTATGGTCCAGAATCCCCCCTCGCCACTCGGCAATGTAGGTCAGTCCCCCGGGAGAAACATTCACCAAGTAGGTCTCTATGGCCTGGAAATCAGGATGGCAGCGGGGTGGGAGAACAGAGGGAAGGGAGGGAAAAGACACAAGTGAGCCACAAGGAAACAGCAACAGGATGGCTCTGCAGGCCCTCCATCCCCTCAGTGGCTCCTGATCTCTACCAGCCAAGATCCCTGACAGAACCAGTGGGGGTCCTGCCACCAGGAGCTGAGACCCAGGGCCTACTGGGAGCTGGGACTCAAGGCAGGTCTTTTAAATCTACATTTTAGAGAACACTTAAAAAAAAAATCTTGGCTGGGTGTGGTGGCACAGGCCTTTAATCCCAGCATTTGGGAGGCAGAGGCCAGCCTGGTCTACATAGTGAGTTTCAGGACAGCTGGGGCTACAGGGAAACCCTGTCTCAAAAAGACAAAAAAAAAAAACTTTATTTTTAAATATTTCATGCGTATGGGTGTATTGCTTGCATGTAGGTAGGTGCACCTGTGTCATGCAATGCTTACAAATCAGAAGAGGGTGTTGGATCCCCTGGAACTGGAGTTTCAGACAGCTGTAAGCCCCTATGTGGGTGCTGGGAATCGAACACAGGTCCTCTGCAAGAGTAGCCAGTGCTTTTAGCCACTGAACCATCTCTCCAGCCCGAGAACACTTAAAAATCTTTAAGATAATGGGCTGCAGAGATGGCTTAGTGGTTAAGAGCACTGGCTACTCTTGCAGAGGACCTGTTTGGTTCCCAGAGCCCACATAATGGCTAACAACCATCCATAACTCCAGTTCCAGGGGATTTGAGGCCTTCTTCTGGTCTCTATGTGGGCACTGCATGGACATGGTATACTTTTATACATGCAGGTAAAATACTCATACACATTTAAAAATATAAAATTATCTTTATGATGAAAACTGAAAATCTTTAAGATGGGGTTGACAAGATGGTTCAGTGGGCAAAAACACTTGTATAAACCTGACCACCTTAACTGGATCCCCAGATCCCACAGTGGATGGAGAGAACCAACCCCTGCACATCATACATACACACAAAAATAATAAAAACATTTTTAGTGACTGGAGATATGGCTCAGCAGTTAAGAGCACTGACTGCTCTTGCAGAGGACCTGGGTTCTATTCCCAGTACCCACATGGTGGCTAACAACTGTCTGTAACTCCAGTTCCAGGGGAATTCAACACTCTGTTCTGATCTCTGAGGGCTTTGCATGACACAGGTGCACTTACATACATGCAGACAATACACTCATCCATATAAAAATAATAAATAAAATATAAAATTGTTCTGAAGCTTTAAGATGGTTCTCCCTTTCCATTGCTCGTAGGGCTCAGCCTGAAGCCAGGCTGGCCTGTGGATGATGCTAGAGTCCAGACGACCTGAGAGCTCAGCCCTTCTGTGGCTAAGTCTTTAGGGGAGGAAGGCCCTCATACTTCATCAGAGTCTTAAAAGAGACCTGCAGGAAATGAACAGCTCCTCTGTACAGGGTTTCAATAGAGCATTCTCCCTCCAAGTCAGGTGAGTGAGCTGCAGAGCCAGGCCACCCACCCAGGAGCTCTGCTCCTTCCACTAGAGATACAGACTCCTTTTAGTGGAAAGTGACTCCTGAGGAAGGACTCTGGGGTGCAGAGGCATCAGGCCACTGTACTTCCCACTCCTTGCTCAGAGACCTAGGAGCTCTGAGACCAAGGCGCTTGCGCTCAACAATCTCAGCTGTCAACTTGACATACCTGGGTGGAAAGAACCTCAGCTGAGGAATTTCCCTCAATTGGACTGGCCTGCGGCCATGTCTGTGGGGCATTTTCTTGATTGTCAGTGATGTAGGAGGGCCTGGCCCACTGTGGGCAGTGCCACACCCTGGGCAAGTGGCCCTATGTTGCATAAGAAAGCAGGCTGAGACCTGGCCAGGGGAACAAGCCAGTAAGCAATATACCTCCATGGTCAGTGCTCCAGGTTCCTGCAAACTCCTACCCTGGCTCCCCTCAATGATGAACTGTAAGCTCAAGGTGAAATAAACCCTTTCCTCCCCAAGTTGCTTTTCGTTACTGTTTTTATCACAGTAATATAAAGAAACGAACAGTGCTGTACACACAGCCCAATGTCAGCCTCCAGGACCCATGGGGCTATCTATCACTGGGCCTCTGCCTCTACTCCAGCCCCTCCAATCTACTTCTAAATCATGAATTGGATCGGATCAGCAGCCTGCTTGGAATCTTGACAGGTTCTTTAGCACCCTGGAGGATGGTCCTGCTACACCTCAAAGACACCGGGATCTGGACCCAAGGCTTGACGGGTTCCATACACTGGCTCCTGAGCACACATTCTGTGGGTTCAAACATCTCCATTGCTTTTGCTGTGTGGCACTGGGCAGGTTACATGCATGCTCTGTGTCTCAGTTCTTTGTGTGTCTAGTGGAAATATGTGTGGTAGCTACCTCGCAGGGTTGTGAAAATTATGTGAGCTTTGTCTACATAACAGGCATTCTTCCCATCAGAGCCCCCAACAAATGCTGGACATGAGTTCTCTGCAGTCTGACCCTTGCCCTCTCCCCACATCCCACCCCAGCCTCAATGGAAACAGTCCCCTCTTTAGGTATCTCATGAGCTGCTGAGTCTTTTCTTGGGTCAAGGGCTGGGACTCAGCGGCACTGTGGATGGGCCTGACTCCTAGCTCGGGCGCTCTCCTTGAGTGCAGAGACCATCATCAAATGCACATGGAAATGTCCATCAACATTCAGGAAGAAATGAACTGAGCTTGTGAGATGAAAGTGTGGATTCTCTGCTTTGCAGACTGAGACCAGAGAGTTTTCCTGCCCCAGGCTGCTCTTCCTCCCCTCCCATGCCCAGCCCTGAAAGGCCTCCCCTAGCCTGCCCCAGTCCTTGGAGAGGTTGGTCCTCTTACTACACCTCCTGGTTCTCTGCATGGAGCATGATCCCATATAATGCTGCCCCCACCCCATCTCTCAGTGCCATGTGACACAGCAGCCAGTTATGAGCCAGGGCCTGGCACATGAAGACAGTGTCGCTTCTAGATCCGTTTTACCTCTCCCTCTCCTGTCAGAGCCAGGGCTGGGAGGCTGGCTGCAGGACCCTTACCGAGTGGCAGATGGGAGAAGACTGATGAGGGGCCATAACAGGGCACCTGCTTCACATGGGTAGGATGCTGAGGCCTTGAGTGCCACTGGCTGCTAGGCAAGGCTACTGTGGGCTCAGCCCAGGCTCCTGAGCAGAGTGGGGTCCTGGCAACTGTTCTGTTAAGGGTTACTACAGGGGATGGGCATCAGTGAGGCCAAGAACCTGGCTAAGTTAATCAGCTGCCTATGTGTTGGATGTGACAACACAGACATGTGGGGGAGATGACAGGATGTTATGCCCTATGGTTGAAATAGCAGCACTTTCCAGATTGTCTCCCAGAGGCTGGGTCCATGTGGGGTGAACCCTGGGCTGGGTAACAGCAGATAGGAAGAAAATACAGACCAGTGTCTCTGAATACAACAGAGATGAACAGAGGTGGAGAAAGAAATGCCAGGCTTCTTTGTGTGTATGTGTATTCATGTGTGCATTGTGCATAGGTGGGTGTAGGTGCATTTGTGTGCTCATACGTGTAGTGACTAGAGGTGAAACATAGGTGTTGTTTTTCAGGAGTCATCCCCTTGTTTTGTTTTTGAAGACTTATTTTTATTTTATGAATATGAGTGTTTGCCTGCATGTATGTAAATGTACCTCGTGATGCCTACTGCCTGCAGAGGCCAGAAGAGGGCATCAGATCCCCTGGAACTGGAGTTACAAAGGGTTGTGAGTTGTTATGTGGATTGCTAGGAGCAGAAGCTGGGTCCTCAGCAAGAGCAGCCAGTGCTCTTAACAGCTGCTGGGCAATCAGAGGTGTATACCACCAGGCCCAACTGGTGTTTTGTTTGTTTTTTGTTTTTTTGAGACAGGGTCTCCCTGTAGCCCCAGCTGGCCTAGACTGCTATGGAGACCAGTCCAGCCTCCATCTTACAGAGATCTGCCTCCCTCTGCCTCCTGAGTGCTGGGACTAAAGGCATGTACCACCACACTTAACTCCCTACCTTGTGTTTTGAGACATAGTCTCTCACTGGAACCTGGGGCTCTCTGATTAGGCTAGGCAGGCTGTCCAGTGAGACCTCAGGACCCTCATCTCTGTTTCCCAGTGATGAGATTACAAGTACATGCCATCATGCCCTGCTTTTTTGTGGATTTGGGGGATCGAACTCAAGTCCCCATGCTTGTGCAGCAAGCACTTTATAGACTGAACTATTTCCTCACCCTGAACCAAAGGCTAGAGTGAAACTTAGGCTATGGGCAGGATGACTAGCAAGGCCCAAATCATAGCAAAACATGATATGAAAGGTTGAGTCTGTTAAAGTGTTTGGGTGATTCAGGACCTCATCCTACTTTTCTGAAGACTCACTTTGCTCATCTGTAACATGGGAATAAAAGCGCCTAAGATGGTGGTAGGCCTGGAAGAAAGAGCATTCCAAGACCTGGCTTGGTGCCTCGCCTGTCCAGCTTTTCCCCATGTCTCCTGGGAAGCCTAAAGAGTCCTCTCAGAGGGACCTGTATGACTTGAAGTCAGCCAGCCTAGGCAGGAGCAGCAGGTTAAGCATCAGACAGACACCTGCCCCAGCCCTGGCTGTTGTGGCCTTTCCCAGCTTTGCTTTTGCTGTCTTTATAATGGGACTAATACCAGGGTCTTAGAGCATTTGTCCAGAGCAGGCTGCAGGGCCAGGCTCTCCTAGGCATCCTTAAGTGCCCCTCTTGTGACACATTTTGGGTTGCTCTGACCTTCTCACTCCACCCTGGCGGGACACAGGTCAAACTTGCTGGTTTTTGGCCCTGGTCTCACATTAGCATCACTGGGCCACGCCAGAGGTCCTGGTGTCATTGCTAGGGTGCAGCCTGAGATGGGGTCTGAGGTTCACAGGTGACTCCAACATGTCAGCAAGGCTGAGAACCACTAGAATATTCTTCAAAGTCCTAGACCTGCCAGAGGCCCATCCTTCACTCTGGTCTGTGGCCCCAGGCTCCTTACAGGAAGATCAAATGTGGGAGCTGCGCATTCTTTCCTCTCAGCCAGGCTTTCTGAGGCTCCCAGACTGCTTAAATAATTCATGGCCATCTTTCCCCTTGAAGCCTTAACCACAGTGAGCCCTGAGGGCCGGGAGTCAGTGTACTCATGAACTTCATTTTGGGTTTATTCTGCAGAGATCCACGGGAAGGATGGAAACCAACCTCCAACAGAGGACAGTGACCAATGCCAGGGCCAGACAGGGCTGAAACAGAGTGATCTGGGCTACAGTGCCAAGGACTGGTTCATGACACAGGGCTTGGCACCAGGGAACTAGGAGGGAAATCTCATCCCTGAGCCCATGATTTAAAAGGTCCACAGCTCTGGAAGTCTATTTCAATGTATTCCTTTAAGCATTATCATTCCTGGGCAGACTTATGTCCTCAAAGGGGATTTAGAGATGATCCATCCATCCATCCATCCATCCATCCGTCCGTCCGTCCGTCCATCCATCCATCCATCCCCTCATATATCTATCAGTCCATCTATCCATCCATCTGTTCACATCAATCCACCTACCCACCTCTCATATATCCATCCATCCATCCATCCATCCATCCATCCATCCATCTATCCATCCATCCATCCGTTTAAATCAATCCACTCACCAACCCATTCATCCATCCATTCAACTGCTTGCATCAATCCACAAACTCTGATATCCATCATTCCATCCATCTGGCAACACATCCCAATCCACTCATATATCCACCCATCTGTCCATCTAATGTTCATACATCCATATACCCACTCACATCCATCCATCCAACTGTTTACATCAGTCTACCTAGCTATCAACCAACTCATATAGCCATCCATGAATCCATCAATCCAACTGTTTACATCTGTCTACCCACCTGCCCACCCTTCTACCCACCCATCCACTCACTCATCCATCAACCAACCATCCATTCAACCACCACTTATCCCTCTCATCCATCATTCAGCAATGACTTGTTCATGTAATAGTTACTGTGCGCCTACTATGTGCCAGTCTATCTCAGGAGTGAGGCATTCAGGGTAAACAAGGAGCCAAGATTGCCCATCCCAGAGAATTCACATTGTATTTGATAAAGATTAACAATGATTAGGTAAATAAATGTGTATAAGTGATCATTTCAGATACTATTATAGGTGAATAAGAGACTAGGCCTGGGTATGTAACAGAGGCTGGCAAAGGGCATTTCAGTACATCTGACTTGAAAATTGGCCAGTTTATGGGAGCTAGTCATTTGAATGGCATTCGGGGTAGAGGGGACAGCAAGTGGAAAGGCCCTGAGGTGGCCCTGTTGCAACTGAGGAAGCAGAGGGGCTAGAGTGAGGTGATGCAGTCCTGGTTATTTGCAGGGCCCCAATCAAGTAGGACTCAGCAGGTGAAGGATAGGGATAGGGGTAACTCCGGACATAAGGGACGCTGTCCAGGGGAGAAGCAAGCATCTCTAGCCCTCTGACTGCTGTGGAGAACTGACTCAGAGGCAGGGCAGAGAGGAAGCAAGTAACTAACTTTATGGGGGATCTGGGGTCCAGAGCCTGCCCAGTGCCTTTTCATTGACTGGGCTCACAGGTATCCATAGGTCTGTCTAGCTGACTCCCCTGTGTGTCCTCCTTGGTGGGACTCACCTTGCCTCATCACCCCTCTTCACTCTGCAAACAGAGCAGCATGGCATTGACTCTGCAGGTTCTGTGCTGTGTGGCCTTAGACAAGCGTCCTTTCCTTTCTGGGCCTTGGTTTGCATACATGGGGAGAACGAACAGAAGTGCATGCTCCATGCCTCCAAGAGGTCACTCCTTCTGCTAAAGTGTCACCTCTGGTTTGCAGGAAGACAGCTGAAGGTCTCACTTTGGAACCCCAAAGGGCTCTGGCTGCCATCTGGGCTTTGACACATTAGCTGAAGCCCAGACACTATGGGAGAGGGCTTGAGCCCAGCTTTCTGAATCAGACTGACCGTCACTTCCTATGAGACCTTGGACAAATGACCTGACGTACCCGAGCCTGGGTCTCTGGAAGATGAAAGACAAACATGAGGCAGACTGTCTGTAGGCGCCTGGAGGCGTCAGGAGCCGTGTGAAGTGTGGCTGGGGAGGTCTTCCTCTGGCCCACGCTGCAGCCTCCCCCAGCACTCAGGGCCTAGAGGGCCGGTGGTGGCTGCCCACCCAGCAAGCAGGAGCCGCCTCTTACCTCCAAGGCTTCATAGTACATATTTTTAGCCTCCAAATCTGTTTTGGCAGACATCAACCAGGATTTGATCAAATATTCATAAAAGCTGTCCCCAAGTCCTCCAACCGAGACATGGTCTACGAGACAGAAGATGACAAGGACTATTTAGCCCATTTGCAAGTGCTTGCTCAGTTTGTACGCCAGTCTAGTGGTCCTGAGCTGGGCTGGGTGCAGCTGGCATCCAATCAGTCACCACCCAACCCAAAATGGGGGACATGCAGAAACCAGGGCATCTTGAGTCAAGAATTCTCTGGGTCATAATGGGTTGATGACACAGAGTTCTGGTTAACTGTAGGGCTAATTTTCTTTAAAAAGATTATTTGAGTTTTAAAAACAGATGGATAACAACTATTTCAGTGTAAAGCCATTGAATCAAATGTAAAGAAAGCAGCCAGTAACTCATTTCGGAATCTGTAACACATTTCATGGCGTCCCCTTCCAGTGGCTTTGAATCTTGTCCTTGTAGTTTGGGGTTTCTTAGTCTGTAGTTTTCTTTTTATTAAAAAATTATAATACACACACATCATCTGGTCACAGAGAGTTCAGAGATTTGTCTTCCCCGTGATAATGAATCCTCCAGTGAATGTTGGGCCTTCATAAATGGCCTGCTAAGGTGGAGTTAAAAGCTGGCCTTCCATGGGTCTGACCCCAGCTGCAGAGCCCACTGGTGAGAACTGGTTGATACAGGCAGATCAGCATGGGGAGCTGGAGGGAAGGTATGAGACCCTCCCTCTTCTTGGGTATGGTGGGCTAGTGATGCTGGTGTGTGGTGTATGTGTATTTGTGTAGTATGTATATGTGTATGTTCGTATGGTGTGTGGATGTGCTTATACTGTGTGTATTGTTTGTGCGTTTGTGTGTAAGTATGGTGTGTGTGTGTGTGTGTGTGTGTGTGTGTGTGTGTATGGTGTCTGTGTGTGGTGGGTGTTTGGAGGTCTTGCCTGTGTTTAGTTGGAAACCTGTGGGTTTATCTTGGGGTATAGTCTTAGTGGCAGGAGGGTTTGGGCCTCCAGATACCCTGAAGCAGGGCGTGAGGATGGAGAGAAAGTAGGCAGGAGCAGAGGCCGGGGACTTGTGCTGTGGCCCTAGCCTTCCTTTGCCTCTTCGCTGCCACTTCTGTAGTTGCAGGAGGGCTAATTGGTCCAGTGCGTCCTGCTACAGGCTGTGTTTTGAGGGTCTGAGGGGAGAGAACAGCAGGAAGGCATCAGCTTATGCAAGATGAGGTGGGGTGTCTGCTGAAGAAATTACACCCATACCCGAAGAACCCAACAAAGCCCAGAGAACCTGAGATGACCCAGGGCTGAAGCCAGGAGGCACTGCATGGGGGCCAGCAAGCCCCACCCTTCACTCTGCTCTCCTGCAGGCCTCAGACTCATCTGCTATCAGCATGAAACCATTTCCCACATGTGACTGACTCTGCCCATACCAGAGGCCCCTGGCACAGTCTGGAAAGAAAATTATTCCTTGCAGTGCAACAGGAGTGGTGGTAGGAAGCCATGTTCTGCTTCTCCAGGGCTGCACCGCTGCTCCAGCATCAGGCGTCACCCTGCAAAGCCCTGCAGAGCTGCTGACAGTTCCCAGGCCGTTCCCTCCCATGGCTGTAGCCTTGTAATTCGAGCCTTCATTTCCTTCCACACATTGGACTTGGCCATGTGTTTTGGCTGAGAACCTTGCATTTCTGTAACTTTTTTTTTTTTTAAAGAGGCTGTTTGAGGTGAGGTCATCCACTGGCAAAATTCTTGGGTGGAATTTCCTGGACCTCTTGGGCCTGCCAGTGGTAGAGGCTCAGCAGGGAAGAAAGGCCTCTGCAGATGCTCTGTGGTGTCTTTGCTGCTGGCCAGCCAGGCCGGACCTGCGTCACTCTCTTTTGGATAACCTAGATCACCTCTGGAAGACTTGTCTGCAACCTGCCTCTTGCAGCCTTAACTGCTGAGCCCCTCCCTGGCTGTGTAGAACACATCTCCCATTTTTCAGGACCAGAAACTAAGACCCACAGGGACCAAAGAGACAGAAGATATAGCTCAATTGGAAGATGGGGGTGGGGGAGTCAGAGAGAGCATGTGTGTGAGACAGTGAGGGAGTGTGACAGAAAGGCATAGAGACAGAGACATTTTCCCAAGCCATACAGTGACTAGACTGAGGTCTCCTTTGCCATGAGCCCTTGCCACAGGACAGATTGGAGGTAAGGGAGGGGAGCAGGGTCCTTGTGGGACAGAGGCCATGGAGTAGAGCTCCGAACAGGGCTCAGGAAGTGCATGGAACCTGCCATCACCAGTTCCTGCTGATGGTAACCATTGAGGCTGTGGAGAGGCAGGCAGAGCTCAGCTATAGGAGGGCAGGCCCTACCCCGTTCTGTCAGCGGGTAGGGGTGGGGCTTGGGAATGACACTCTACAGGTGACTGGAAACTATCTGGTTCAAAAGTCTGTAAACTGCTGGGTGTGGTAGCAAACAACTGAGATCCCAGCACTTGGCATGTAGAGACAGGAGGATCAGGAATTCAAGGCCAGCCTTAGCTACACAGTGAGTTGGAGGACAGCCTGGGTTACTTGAGATCCCATCTCAAAAAAAAAAAACAAAAAAAAACAAAAAAAAAACCCACAAACAAAAGTTCGCTAAAAAGAAAAACCCCAGGTTGGAGAGGTGGTTTAGCAGTTAAGAGCATTTTGCTGTTCTTGCAGAAGACCCGGGTTCGATTTGTAGCACCCAAGTGGCAGCTAATAACTGTCTGTAACTCCAGTTCCAGGGAGTTCGATGCCCTCTTCTGATCTCTGTGGGCATTGCATGACATGGGTGCACTTACATACATACACTCATACACATAAAATAAAAATAAATTTTTTTTTTTCGTCTTTTTCAAGCAGGGTCTCCCTGTGGCCCCAGCTGTCCTGGAACTCACTATGTAGACCAGGCTGGCCTTGAACTCACAGAGATCCCCCTGCCTCTGCCTCCCAAGTGCTGGGACTACAGGCATGCGCCACCATGCCTGGAAATAAAAATAAATTTTAAAATATTAAAAAAAAAAACAATCCAGGTCTGATTCTGGAAGGCTTAGGAGACAGTGGTGAATTAATGATTTTTACAACACTATATATTTATTTCTAAATTAAGGCTGGAGGTGGGGAGCCAGATCAAAGGAGCCAGAACAGGGCCTTTCTGGTGCCACTTCTGAGTGACAGCTTTATATAGGACATTCCTGTGAGTCTGGGGGATCAGGGGTGCCATGAGAGATGGAAGCCGAGGAGACCAGGGATGAGGTGGGTGCATAGGGCAGTGTTCATCAACAGTTGTCGTTATGTCAGGCAGGCGTGTCCAGGAGCAGGTACCAGCACCTGGCTCTTAGCTAGTGCCTCGCTCAGCCCGGGAAACTGGAATAGGAACTCGTGGGATGAGGGGCAGTAGCGTCTGTACTTACGCTGCACCCAGTTCCCACTCACTGGACTGAGGAAGTTGGGATAGAGGCCGAAGGGTTTGTCAATCTTCCTGAGGACCTTGCGGATGTTCCTGACCTGTGAAGAGAGACATATGGGGGACAATCACTTTCCTGAAGAAACCACTGACTGCCACCTGCTGAGGACACAGCAGGTGGCTCAGAGGCACACAGAAGAAAGCTTTTCAGTGTGGCAGGAGGGAGAGTGGGGGAGGAACTACAGATTCTGATCAGAGGTGGTGGGATGTGCCCGCTTCTGTGCTCATGTGCAGAACATGGCCATATGGGGCCTGACCCACCACTCTGCTCTGTTGGGTGCCAGTCTCATTCCAAGCCCGCTGCCTGGCAGTCCCACTCCTCCAAGCTGCTTCGGAGGATGGTTCTTTTGGAGGGGAGGGGTTTCAGATAAGTGACAGTGGCTCATTTGCAAGCATTATGAAAGTTGCTTCCTGCATGCTCAGTTGGGGGGTTGAGCTATCAGCCTTTATTTCCTGTCACAGTACCTGACTTTGCTTGGTCAGACTTCATGTCCATTTAAAGTAATGGAGACTATCAGGGGGTCAGGAATGTCCTGGTGCCTGAGTTATGCTTCCTCGTCCTTGGTGTGGAGCTGGGAAACAGGCTAAATTAGCTCCCCCTCCTGCCCCCCACTGGGTGCGGGTGGCTAGAATTTAGGCCAATTTGCTGACTGCCAGTAATCAGAGGCATGACTGGGGATGAAAATAGCCAGAGTATGCAAATGAAGAGAGGAAGAGGGACAGGGACTCTGGAGAAGCAGCCTGCACCCAGCTGTACTAATCTGTTGTGGAAAGAGCTGGAAAGTTCCCATCCTAATTCCCAGCTTTATTGTTTATCAGCTGGCTATCAGGGTGGGTTACTTATCATCTCTGGGTGTCATTTTCCCACTCTTTAGATGGAGTGAAGGAAAGACCAATCTCCTGGGATTGCTGGGGGGTATGCAGGTACAGCATGCCCAGGACGCGGCAGGTAAGCAGTCAGGGCCCTCAGTGTATTTATTATTCCAGACCAGCTGGAGGCCAGCGAGCATGTAGCCTGGGACAGTGGACATGGATTCATCTTAGGAGCTTTCCTGGGAGTCACAGGAGTCACGGGAAGTAGGGTTCCTTACAGCAGGAGGAAGCAGCTCTGATGGAAAAGCCAACCACACTGTGGACAGGTTAGAGGACGAGTGAGCAGCAGGTCAGCAGCAGTAATCAAGAGCTTGGAAGCTCTCCTTGAGCTTCTCAGCACTGATGGATTCCTACACTGAGGACATAGTGGTCCCAAAGCTGGAGGAGCGCTGGGCTGTGATAGGGCAGTCTCCAGGGCCTGCAATGAAGGCCAGGAACTTGCTTCCTCACAACTGTGACATGGATGTGCTAAGGACGTCTGGTGACATCAAATGGCATCATCAAGTTGTATAAAAACCTATTCCAGAGGAGGGGGGACCCCAAAAGCCTTCCTTAGAAGGCTCTGGAAGGTTATATGATGCTAGGGAGGGGCCTCGTGTGCATGCTGCCTTCATTTGGGTTCAGGGTCAGACCTACAGAGACCCTTCCTCTGCCCAGCCTTTCCAGAGAGCTTCCCAGAAGGGCTAGGTATGGTCAGCTGTCAAGACTGGGTACCTGTGTGGCCTTGGGCAGTTGTGAACAATGACAAGAAACACCTGCTATGCACAGGAACCATTCTGTCAGTGTGAGGCAGCCGGGCATCTGGGACGAAAAGGCAGGCAGATCTCAAATGGAAAAGCTAAATGTCCCTGGAAAGGGGACATGTGCACCACTGCCTGTTCCTGCCAGCACAAGACAGAGACTGGATTCCAGTTGTGCAGTCTCCAAATTTCACAGTTCACAGATCTGCCACCAGCCCATGTGCCAGCACGAACGTCCCTGGCAGAGCTGCCTCCTCCCACCCTTGGAATCCTGGCAGCTCTTGCTCCCCTCCCCGCCACCTGGTTTCTGGCACAGTTGGTTTTGCCACCAGTGCTGGGTGAGCGGTGGTTGGGGGCTCCTGAAAACCTGACTACAGACGCTCACCCTCTGCCCCTCTGCTGGGTGGGCTCCTTTCTGCCTGGGGAGAGAACAGGGACGGAACTCACCTTTTCTGCAAAAACCTGGTTGCCAGAGAGCTCAGTGAGGTGCAAGAACTCCAGGTGCAGGGATCCGAACTCTGCCAGGATGCTGCTGCTCCCCGCGGTGGCCCAGCCCCAGCTCCCACTGAAAAGACAGAGTAGCCGCATCATCCTGCTGGCCAGGTGGCCCCTGGGCTGAGAGCAGCTGTGGCTGATGTGGGGGAGTTATGCCTGATGTGTGCCAGGCACCTCAGCTGATCTTCCCCATTGTCCCACTATGCTGACGACACCAAGGCTGGGCCAGGCCTCTCTGGTTCTCCATTGTCTTTGTTTCTACTAAGCAGCATCTGTAACAGCTGGGGCTTGAGGAGTGGCACACGCCTACAGTTAAATCTACAGTTGACATCGATAGTGCTGCCACGAACCACAAAGACCTTACAGGATGCCCGGTGACTATCCTCAGGCCCAAAGGCAGTAGATCCAAGCAGAGACTTTGTTCTATCACACAATGGCCCCAAAGTGGTGTGACCATAGACATGGAGCTGCTGAACCTGAGGAAGTCGAGGGTTAGTGTTGTGCATTAGTTGCGTTCTCTGTCTCGTGCTTGTGGGAGGAAAAGCCCAGGGCAGCACGTTCATTATCCTTACACCTTCACTTCTACAGAAGGAACCAGACTCAGAGTCAGACTTCACCCACCGGAGTCACCAGTCTGTGCAGCAACTGGGTCTAAGCTGAGACACACCAGTGCTGGGAGGCCGCCTGCCTGTATCACACAGCCTCTCAGAGGGACTCTATCCAGACCTTCCACCTGCTGCACCTGAACCAGGAACTAGACAGTACAAGATCTAGTGTTGGCCAGCTGCTGCCCTTGGGCGAGCCCCTGAATCCTGTGTGCCTCAGTTTCCCCACCTGTACAACAGGGTGAAGACAGTATCTCCTTGTCCAGCCTTGAGCTTTTGTGGAGACTAAGAAAGGAAGGGTGTATAGTGTCGGGGTGGCTGTGGGCAAGAGTCTTCCCCTCCTCTTGCCCCACTTTCCACATATTTTGATTTACATATTCTGATTAACTTCCCATTGGACATTTAGGACTCCAGGGGGAACAGAGTCTGCAGGAAGTTAGTGCAAGGTGGTGCGAAGTAGGTTATGGGATAGCTGCACTGTCTTCCAGAGGCCCCTCTGCTCTCCTGCTGCTTAGGGCCTGGCTGTGGTCTCTCCCTCTGTCTCCAGAAAAGGATAGGACTTAGGCAACGGGGGGTTGGGAGGTCCCTGGTGGCTACACTTTTGCTGGCACAGGCCTGAGGCTGGCCGGAGACCTCTCTCTCTTCTCTGAGCTCAGTTCTTGTCCAGCATAGGGCTTCCTGGAAAGCAGGGCAGCTGAGCTGTGCCCTGGCTCCTAGAAGCACACAGAGGGAGGTCTCTGGGTTTCAGATCTTGGGTAGGAGGGGCAGGTGACTTCAACTAATGTAGAGACTGCCACTCTGTTTATGTTCTTTCTGCTCCCTTGTGTATTTCTTGACTTAGGCCATGCAGGTAAGGAGGGGTGGCTGCACAGGAGGGCTGCTGGTTCCCAGGTTATAAGCAGAGTAGTAGTCTGCTAAGACAGGCTATGAGTTGTGGTGAGCGGCTTCCATGTTACTGCCCTGAAAGCCCATGGGCACAGTTAACCTTAATACCCAAAGGAGGAAACTGGGGCTGCAGAGGACATGAAGCTAGGAGGAGGCGGGATTCCAAACCAGGCATCCTGGCCTCAGGGTTCGCTGGGGGATCTCCCACCCTAAGACCTCATGCTCCCCAGAGACATGAGGGGGATCCCCAAGGCCATTTGAACTTCTTCTTCCAGCTGGGGAGCTTGCAGGAAATTAGGAGTCATAGAGGGCATCCTGAGAGACTGATGCCACAGTAAAGGAATCCCCCTAGTGGCTGGGGCTTGGGGGAGCATGCAGGCTTTAATCCCAGCACTAGGGAGGCAGAGGCAGGCAGGGCTCTTTGAGATGAAGGCCAGCCTGGTCAACATAGGGAGTTCTAGTCAGCTGGAGCTGTAAGGAGACCCCGTCTCAAGGGAGGGGGGTGCTGAAGCAATGGCTCAGCAGTTAAGAACACTGGTTGTTCTTGCAGAAGACCAGGGTTCGAATCCCAGCACCCACATGGCAGCTAACAACTGTCGATAACTCCAGTCCCAGGGGATCCAAGAGCCTCTTTTGACCTCCAAGCGCATTGCACAACACGGGCACACTTACCTATATGCAGCCCAGCTACGCATACACATTTGAAAAAAAAGAAAAAAAAGAAGACCCAGTTAGCTTTTTGTTGTTTTTGAGCCAAGATCTCATTATGTAGCCCTAGCTGGCCTGGAGCTCATGATGTAGACAAGGCATTGGCCTCTAACTCACAGAGATCAGTCAGCCTGCCTCTGCCTCCCCAGTGCTAAGATTAAAGGCAGCTCCCCCTCCTACCTTACCCCTCCCAATTCATCAGCCCCTGTGGGACTTCCTTTGGTAGGAAAGGCAGGTGTCCCTGTACCATGTCTCTCTCTGCCTGGCTCCTGCGCCCCTATGCACTAGGCAGGTACCGTAATGCAGGCTACATCATTTCCCTAGCACCAGTTTCCTCCTCCCTTAAACCAAGGCACCAGACCTTACAGAGCTATTGTAAGGCTTCAATTATACATGTGGTCATTGTCATTTTTATCACTATGCAGTATTGCATATGTAAAGATGTACTGTTTGTTACTGTTGTTAATAAATTTCTAATATGAGCCAGGTGGTGGTTCTGGTGTGGTCTTAAAAATAAGATTGTACCTTCATCCCCGATGCCAGTAGGGGCTGTTCCACAATGCCCCTAGCTACCTTGGCTAAGCCTGTGTGTGGTGTAATTGTTAATGTTGGAGCTAGCCAGAGCTGAGATCTAATCCTAACTTAACTGCTGTGTGACCTGAGGTAAGTTATTAGACTTCTCGGTGCCTTTCCTGGCAAAATGAGGTCCCTGTGGTACTTGTGAAATTACAAGGGAAGGCTCTGTCACATGTTCACAGGGTGCCTGAACTACAGTGAGAGCGCCATAGCCTTTAGTAATTACGAAGGCATGTACATGTGCTGTCTGTGGGAGCGCACCATGGAAGCGTACATTTATATGTAAATGTGAATGCCCACATATGGATGTGAGAGTGGGCGACAAAGGCCAGCTTGAAGGTCTGAGCCTTTAGGAGCTGTGTGGGAGGCAGGAGTACTTGTGTGTGTGTGTGTGTGTGTGTGTGTGTGTGTGTGTGTGTGTCCCTACATAAGCCAGTAACAGGCCGATTCAGCCACAGAGGTCCCTGGACTGGCCATAGTCACTGTCTTGGATAGCGGTCTCTGTAGGTACAGGCCCCAGCTGGCCCTTCCTCTGCCACCCAGGCTTCCTATGCAAGGCAAGGGCCCATCTCCATGCTGGGTAGTGCTGGGTGGGGCTAGTCACCCTCTAGCTGCCCACAGTTGGTCCTGCAGGAGCATGACAGGACTAGCAGGGTGGGTCTAGCCTTCTACCAGGTCATCTCTGAAAAGCAGCCTCGGCAGCATGCGGCCTCTGCATCCTCGCCACTTCCCATTCTCAACAGCAGCTTCTTTCCCAGAATATGGAAGAGAACGTTGCCAGGAAGTTCGCATGTGTCGTATACAGTGGTGGCAAGCAAATGGTCTAAAAATACACGAGATCCACTTGCCAAGAGCAGCAGGCTCTATGTAGGACCAGGCTGCGAGTGCCAGGCTCTATGTAGGACCAGGCTGCGAGTGCCAGGCTCTGTATAGGACCAGGCTGAGGCTAGGAGTTACAGGTGAGCCAGGGGGCCAGGGCCTTGGCAGACTCTGGGTGAGGGCATGGGAGGCACTGTTTGTCTTATCTCAGGATCAGTGTTTGTGGGGGACTCTGACCTCAGATCCATGCATGCATCTCTGAGTCGTCAAGGCTGGTATGGAGGGCGGCTTCTGTCAGTCTCATGGCTACCCTGGCCTTAGGAGGTTTCAGTGAGATCACCCAGAGGCAGAAGCAGAGAAGGTGAAGCCACTGGGGCCACAGGCAGTGAGGCGGGGAGGGGCTCCAGTTGGGAGCTCAGGCACATAGAACCATCCCAGCCTTCCTTCTAGCTTGGGTATGCGGCAGGGTGTCAAGCTTGGCTCAGAGACCTACAGGTGTTTGAAGACACGGCTGGATGCCTTCTGTGTCTCCTAGACAGGGTGGGGGTCACAGACACTGCCACTCCAGCTTCTTACCTTTTGAAGTTCACGGCGCCCTTCGGGATGCCAGTGGGGGTGTTAAAGGCAGGCAGGAGCTTCTCACCCAGCTTGATGGCCTTTACTCGGAACACCTGCCAAGGAAGGATCAAAGGGCACTGAGTCTGGGCTGGGTGAGGTCGCTCTAAGGTCACTCTAAGCAGTTGCTGCCACCCAGGGGACTCAGGCAGGAGGTGACACTAAGTCAGGGACTGCAGCCAGGAAGTCTGGACAGAAGGCCAAGGCTCTTGACAGCCTGGATGGGAGGCCAGACCTTGGATTACTGGCTTTATGATCTCAGGTGAGGCGCTCTGAGCCTCAATTTCTGTAGCCAAATATGCCAGGCTCGCCTTCCTCAGACACCTGTCAGGAGGGATGGAAAACTCACAGCGTCAGGACTGTGAAGGACTGTCACTGTGGTCAGGTGATCTTGGGAAGAGAGGAAACAGTCAGTGTCACCTCCAAGTCCAGATGGAGGCCCAGTTGAGAAAGGCAGACCACCAGTCATCAGTGCTTCTTTCACTGAGGGCTAGGATGATACAGGCTGACTGCTACAGTCTGGACTTGGAGGGTCCCCAAAGACCCATGTGGTGAAGGCTTGACTCTGGTCTTGTTACCACTGGGAGGTAGTGGGACCTGTGGAAGGGAGTCAGGTCACTGGGGGTATGACCTTGATATTGAGACCCCAGGTCCTTCCTATCTCTCTGCTTCCCAGCCTCTGTGAGTGAACAGGTCTCCTCTATCACATGTTCCTGCCATGATGTCCTGGACCACCATGAGCCCAAAGCAATGGACCAGCTGATCACAGACTGAAAGCTCCAAACCTGTGAGCCCAAACAAATCTTTTCTTCTTTTAAGTTGTCTCAGGCATTTTGTTATAGTGAGAGAAGGCTGACTAACACACCAAGTTATCTATATGCACAGAGTATGAGGAGCATTGGATTAAGAGCCCAGACCCACACTACTCTCCAGGTTCCAGAAACTTCTACCTCCTGGGTGACAGCTTCCCCATGTGATGGCAAGAGAAAAGCCTTTCTCATTGTTCCCATTTTACAGACAGGAAATGAAGGGCAAGGGAGAATGGCTTGTCTTAAACCATCCACATGATAGCAAAGAGGCTATAATTGGGTCCCAGGCCTCAGGGGTTCTGAGACCCTTAAACTGTTCCTCCAAAATGCCAGATTGACCCTAAAGGACCTGTGACCATCTGACTTAGCAGTGTCTCTCATAACAATTTATTCTAAAGGGCCAATGAGATGGCTCAGTGGGTAAAGTGTTTGATGATCTGAGTTTTATCCCCGGGACCTATACAGGAGAAGAAAACTGACTCACAAAACTTGTCCTCTGACCTCCACATGCATGTACACACACACACACACACACACAGTCTCACACTCACACACATGGGGGGTATAAACAAATGTAATTTAAAACAAAACAACACCCAATTTATTCTAAGGACATAAATAATAAAAGATGTGAAAAAGTCAACATGACAGCTATTTACTCCAGCACTGCCTAGAACAGACGGGTATGTATGGAAAGACTAAATATCAAACAATAGGGAAGTGGTTCAGTTACGGCTTTCCTGCGATGTCATGTCATGTAGCCACTAAAATGATGTTGTAGAATATGTAACAGCATAGAAAGGGAAAGAGAAAAGCACTTCAAAATAGTGTAACTCAGCTTAAAATCTATTTGTATATGGATGCATGAAAAAAGAAAATAAACTAAAATGTTAACAATGTTCTTCTCAGAGGGGTCAGCTTACCGACACGACAATATTTCTTTCTTTTGGCTTATCTGTCATTTTGTGTAATTATATTTATTTATTTATTTATTTATTTATTTATTTAATTTGAGATGAAGGTCTCTTTGTGCTTCCCAGGCTGGTCCTGAACTCCTTCCTACCTTCAAATGATCCTTCTGCCTCAGCCTCTTCAGGCTGAGGACTACAGGTATGTACCACCACACTCAGCCTGTGCAATTTCCTAACAAAGAAGGGCCTAGAGGTGAGGAGATGGCTCAGTTGATAAGAGTGTTTGCTCTGCAAGCATGAGGCCCTGAGTTCAAATCCCCAGCACCCATGTAAAAGGCTAAGCATGACTGCAGGGCCTGTAACCCCAGCACTAGAGGCAGAGGCAGGAAGATTCTCAAGAGCTCACTGGCCAGCCAGCCAATCAGAGACTCTGCCTCAAAGCAATGAGGCAGAGTGATAAAGGAAGACATTTAACATCCTGCTCTGGCCTCTGTGTGTATGTGCACAGGTGTGTGCACCCACACACTCACATGTATGTAACACACACACATACATGCACACTGAGGACAAACCTATAACACAGTTGGTCCTCAAAGCAATGAGGCAGAGTGATAAAGGAAGACATTTAACATCCTGCTCTAGCCTCTGTGTGTATGTGCACAGGTGTATGCACCCACACACTCACATGTATGTAACACACACACACATACATGCACACTGAGGACAAACCTATAACACAGTTGGCCTCCATATCTACAGAGTGCACATTCATGGAACCAACAAACCATGAATTGAAGATAACACTTTCAGAAAGCCGGACATGACAGTGCACACCTGCAGTCCTGACACTAGGAGGCTGAGGCGAGGGAAACATAGGAACCCAGGAATTCAAGGCCAGTCTGGGTCACATACTGGTGGAAGGGAGGGAGAGAAATCGCATCTGTATTGACTATGTACAGATACGTTTCTTGTTATTATTCCCTAAACACAGAGAGCACAGCACCTGTGCAGTTGGGTATCATAAGGACAACAGGGGATGCAGAGAATGTAGGTCTTCTGCAAACACCACAGCATTTCAGCAAGGGCTTGAACATCCCTGGGTTTGAGATCCTGGGCCCAGTCACCATGGATACCCAGGGGAGGCAAAGAAAGCACATTAAAGGGATGAGATACAAGTCTTCAACCAGCACCTCCTGGAGAAGACACGTCAGCTCTGGTGACTCAGTTTCCTGACCTCCTGTGGTTGTAAAAAAAAAAAGCCTTCTGGAATCTTCCCTTCTAGCAGCAGCTAGAATCTACAGAATGAGGGGCTGGAGTGGGGTGGGGATCAGGGTGTCATATATGCCTACCACTCAAGGACTTGGGTTCCATCCCTGCATCACGAAACAAACAAATGAATAAACAACAAAAGCCCTGGGAGGCAGCTATTAGGGAACCACTGGGAGGGGCTTCCCAGCTCTGAGCTAGGGAGTGGTCTAAGGCCTCTGAGGGTGGGTGGTCTTGCCAGGAAGGGAGGGTAAAGTGGCCAGGCTGACTTCTTGTGTCACACGAGAGGTCACTGTCAGAGGCAGTCAGTGAGTCCCAGATGTAGGCCTGGGGATCAGCCACATCAAAACCCCTAGGGAGCTGGTCTGGAATCCAAAGGTTTGTCACTCAAGGCTGCAAGGTCTGCTCTGTGGGGGACTGCAGTACTCTGTCACATTGGGAAGCTATTGGTTTAATAACAGAAAGGGCTCTAAGACCCCTGATGGCATGCAGGCTTCTGATCTCTTCATTTTACCCTAGTAGCCCACCCTGATGTGTGGCCCATGCACTTGAGATCCTAAAGAGGCCGAGATAGCTGGGCTGCCAGAGCAACGATGCAAGGCTCTGCAAGGCCCTTAGAAGGCTCTGCTGTCAGTTGCCACTGAAGATCCCAAGGGTCCCAGGAAGGGTACTGGACAAGCATGTGCTGGGGAAGGAAGGACCTGGGTCCCCCTGACATTTTGGAAGCAAGCAAGGGAGAGGTATTGTGGCTGTGGGCCTTCAGTCCCTGTGACAACACACGGGAAGGTGCTGACTCACTGAGGACAAGACAGCTGTGTTCAGAGTGATGGGCCTAGGGCTGCCGCCCTGTGGCTTTCTCCAGGACACTCAGCTGCCTCCACATATAGGGATGTGGCCTCAGTGGCTGCAGTTCCAGAATGGGGTGACAGTTCCACCATATAGAGTAGAAAGCGCTTTGGGTCAAGAGCCGGAGCCCAGTACACATTATCCATGTGTCAGTATGTGACTGAGCCTCAGTTTCCCCATCTTCACAGTGGAATGATGATGTGTACCCTGGCAGCTTCAGGGGTTTTGTAGAAATCAAGCAAGAGAAAGCTTTTAACTGAATGTGTTTCTAAACTGTGCTGTGCTGCCCTGACATCCTCAGGAAAGCTGTGACTACGCCTGTCATCTTAATGGGAGCGACCAGCCAGCAGGAGGGTCTCCCGACACTTCTTCTGAGGCAACAGCTAGGCATGAGGGAGTCTCTTACAGCAGGTATTGCATACACATTCATGGCAAGCTAAGAAGTGGGGAGCTCAGTGGGATTGAGCCCTGGTTGACAAGCAGTGACAATGGAGGTATAAGGCAGGAAGGCCACAGGGTCAGAGTGAGGCCCAGAACAGCCCTCAGTGCTCCATGGATGTAAGTCTGTAAGTCAGTAACCCCCCTCCCCGACTGATGGAGTATTTGTGGCTCCTGCAGGGCTGTGTCCAGGGCATGAAACCTGGTATTCGAACCAGGGGTATGTCTGGGGACAGCAAGGACCATGGGGGGTTTGCTGTACCTCGAAGTAGAGGCTACACAGACAGATGCAGCACTAGTTACTTGGGCCCCCCCTTTAGTCTTCTGAGTTGTTTCTCAAGTCACTGGTGCTGGGGGCCCCAGACCCTGGAGTTCATATCCTGAAAAGTCAGAGTGTCCCTTAGGAAGTAGAGGGCTCAGAAGTATATTCCTTAGAGAAGGATCAGGAGGGTGGGGCAGCTGTCATGTCACCCAAGAGCCACCAGCTCCTTCCTGAGTGGCTGGTCCCCAAGCAGCACCCCTCCTTTCCCCTCCCCTACATCCATCTCTCCCATACTAGCCAGGGAGGCTGGGCAAATGCCTTTGAAACACATGAAAGATGTCTTTTTTCTATTCCTCTGTCATTTTTCTGTTCTGGGATTTTCAAATAACATTTGGGCTTCATGTGGCTTGAAGCTGAGGGCTCCCATTGACATTTTTTTTTTTTTTTTTTTTGGACAAATTGGTACAAGTGGTAATCTCTACTGAGGAGATTATGTTTGATAGAGGGCAGCCTGTTGCCTCTAACCCTCTGCTTCAGCTGTGACAGTTAAGGGAGGCAAAGACTTTCTGGATCACAGTGATGGAGGGGAGGCAGGATTTCTCTGAGGCTGCTGGCCTCACCTGCATGGCTGCTGGTTCCTGGGCACTGGGAGGCAGGTATGATTGCTGGGAACAGGGGAGGGAGGCTGAGGCATCCAGCCCCATGTGGCGGCCAGGCTGGGCAGAGCAGCCCTCAGGTTCATAGGGAACAGTCTGACTCATGACCTGTGTTCTGGGGACACTGCCAACCTGGCCACTGTGCTGTGACAGAAGCTCACAAGGAGGGCACAAAGGCTCCAATGTCTCCAGAGCTCTGTGCTATTTATTTAGAATTCTCTGGCAGAGAGAATATGCCCTCTGGAGGTGAAAGCTCTGGGCCAAACCCTCTGCCTCCTGTCCCAAGCCACAAGGAATCTTTGGACTAAAGAGGCATTACAACCATCCCAAGATGGAAAAGGACAGAGGGAGGCCCAGAATAAGATGGGACTTGCTCCAGGCCTCCAGCAAGTGAGTAGGGTTTCTGACCCTGGGTACTTCTCAGCCCTCAAAGTCTTACAGTTAGAGGCTGTGGCCAACAGCGTGGCCCCATCACTCTGAGGCTCCCTTGAGAATGGGAGTCCACAGGTGTCTAGCTGATGTTCTGCCCAAGGGAGGTGAGGAGTTGGCTGTGGAGTGCACTGGTCTCAGAAGTGAAAAGCAGTGGTCTTGGCTTTGTGGGTCCTGAGAGGGACAGCTGTGAACAGCAGCGTGGCAGCGAGCCTGTGCAGTGTGTATGTACCGGTCTACGGGAGCCAGCCATGTTCCCATGGGCTACAGAACCGAGCAACGTAGAAGACAGAGAGGAGTGAGTTAGAACCTGAGAGAGAGGTCCTTATGGGGGGTTCTGGAAGACCTCCTGTCCCCTTGAAGACTTGTTTTCCTACTTGGGGAAAAGGGGCAGGACTGTAGGCCTTCCTGGGGTCTCGAAGGACCAACTCACCTCCTCTCCTGTCAGGTAGAAGGCTGAGAGCAGTCCTCCAATGTAGCGGATATTCACCTCAAATAAAGATGCTTCTCCACTCTGCGGGAAGGCAGGGAGGGGAACAGAAAGGACACAGGTGAGCCCAGAGTCAGCCAGGCCCTGGACACAGGCCATACTTGCTCCCCCAACACACACCTGTGCCCTGCTTTGGGGATCCTCCCAGCAGGCCAGGCCACAGCTCAGTTTTCACAACAGAGGTCGAGAGGGGCCAGCACCTGCTTGGCAGTTGCTACTGCACATTTACAATATTTCAAGTAAACACTAGCTTTGGCTTCCTTTCCCAGTCCTCGCTGGAGGCCATCAGAGCAGTTATACCTGGCTGTGCTCCAACTAGCTCTAGGACCTACATGGAGCAGCTTAGCCAGAGGAAAGGCAAAGCCTTCTTTCCTCAGCCCTTCCCCTTTTCTGGGGAGCAACCCCATTCAGCAGGAGTATGAAGAGGCCCATCCACGGGGTGACAGAACAGGGTCAGGGTCCAGCAGAAGGCTGTGGGCAGGTGCCTGTGCAAGGCCCTGAAGTTCCTCAGACCTCAGATCTGGGGCCCAAGGCCCCTCTACATTCCCCTGCTCCATGACTGCAAATCAGGTGTGTAGGCACCGTGCCAAGGGTAGGGTTTGGCTGAAGTTCCACCTGAGCCATGCACATGATTTTGGACATGAAGTAAGATATCTCCTTTCCCTGCCTGAGTTTCCTCCATTCCAGAACAGAACTGACATCACCTCCCCTGCAGGGTAGATGCCAGCCTACAGGTGGTACATCATGCTGGGGTGGGACCTCACACAAAAGCCTATTGTCATCTCCCTTGCCCCAGGGGCTTCCCTTGGCAGCTCTGCACATCATATTTTAAATTTTTATTTGCAATACTTGGGATTGAACTGAGAGCCTAGGCAGATGCTCTACCACTGAGTCATAGTCAGCCCTCTTTACTTTCTTATTTTGGGACAGGGTCTCACTAAGTTGTCCAGGCTGGCCTTGAACTGTTGTCTCAATCTTCCAAGTAGCTGGGATTCCAGGCCAGAGTTACTCAGGCTTTTATTATTGATAGCTACCACCTTCATCTGTTAATCTGGGAAAATTTTTTTCATAAGTAAGGCTTGAGAAAAACTGACTCCCTTTTAGCCTTGCAGACCTCCATGAGATCACACCACTCTGGATGAAAAAGCTAAGGTTCAAAGAGGGGTGATCCCCCCACCTTGATTTCTTCCAAAGATACTCCCTAAACAGACCTGGCCCGCCTGAGTGTCTCCAGGCTTCCTGGCCCCTTGCGCAGGTGGGTCCCTAAAGATGCCCCTTCACCACTCTCCAATCATCGGAGAAGGAGCAGAGGACTCCACACTCCCTGGGCCTCGAATGATTCTAGTAATTGTAATGTTGACAAGGATACCTGTTTCCATCTGTACTGGGCTTAATGGTGCCATCAAATGCTCTCTACAGCCTCCGCTGAATTCAATCCTTCCCTGAGTCATCACAGCCATGTCATACTGAGGAGATTAAAGCTCAGGGCATGACAGAAAGCCTTCTTCCCAGGCTTCCCTCAGCTGGGCTCCAGGCTCCACCTCTCCAGCTGTCTCCATTGCCACCCAGCTCCTTGCTGGTCAGAAGGGGACACAGAGGCCTCACTTCTGCTGGGCTGCACGAGTTCACCTCCAACAAAGCCCTCCCCCCGTTCCCTGCTTTATGTGACAGGTTAAATCCTGAAAGGCCACCCTGGTTCTGAGCCATCTAAGATGAGCAAGGTGGAGAGGGAAGGGATGGCCCTGGCTGTCTTCCCTCTCTGCAGAGGACACCAGCTGGGGGTGCCCCACCTAAGCCTAGTCTCCAGGGAGGAGACCCAGCAGGGTGTGCACAACAGCCCTGGCTCTGGACTGCTCTACTATTTGGTTCCAGGCAAGATATGCAACGTCTGTGCATCTGGGGGTGGAGCTGGTGTCTGGCTCTCACCTCCCTAAAGCCTCTAACTCACCACGTTCAGGTGGAAGCTCTCTTCCACCCAGGCCTTGGCCTCCTGGAACTCCTCCTTCAGCTCCATGAGGTACAGCGTGTCGAGAGAATCAATGATGGTCGCCCCTTGGAGGCCACCTGTGAGCACAGAGAATTCCAAGTGTGACCTGGGGCCACTTTTTTTGCTTTCCCTTCCCAGTTAGGCAAGTTTCCTACAGACCCCTAAATGCCTAGGCAGACTCCAGGGCACCATCTGGGGGACTCCAGTGCCACCAGCAAAGGTGAGGCTGGACCCATATTCCTACTGTGGCTGCCTCCTTGGGGAGGGGAAACTGAGGCAAGACTGGTCCCTTCCCATACTATGGTTACTCTGTGGTCAATAAATGGCTCAGCCCCAGATGACATCCCCAGTGACCTGTGTGGCTTACAATGCTCTCAACGCGTGGCCAGTCTTGTATCTCACCCATCCCTCTCCTACCTTATTCTGAGAGAAAAATACAGGTGTGCACACATGCTTAAGCAGGGAGACAGAGACTGCAGGACTGCAAACCTAGAGACGAGGCAGACCCAGCTACTCCAAACCCAGCAACACAGGCTGGAACACAACACAAGGGCGTCATGGGCTACCATCCACACAGTGAGGCAGACCTGCCCACATCTGCATGGGAAGATGCCCCAGGAATCTGTTGTTGTTTTTTTTTTTTAATGCTAGACTAGGTGATGCATGCCTGTAATTGGGAAGCTGAAGCAGGAGGATTGCTGGGAACTCGAGGCCAAATCTGGCTGTAAGTTGAGTTCTAAGTTAGGCTTGGGCTACATAGTGAGTTCCTAGGCCAAACTGTGTCTTAACAACAACAACTAAACAGTTGGGGGTGGTAGTGCATGCCATTAATCCCAGCAATTGGGAGGCAGAGGTAGGCAGATCTCTGAGTTCAAGGCTAGCCAGGGCTACAATAGTGAGTTCCAGGCCATCTGGGGCTACAGGAAGACACTGTCTCAAAAACCAAGGAAACGAAACAGGTGGTAGAGGTGTGTGCCTGTAATCCCAGAGCCTGGGAAGCTCTGGGGCTCCCTGAACAGCCAGCCCAGTCTACTGAGTGAGTTGCAGGCCAATAAGACCCTTTATTAAAAAAACAAAGTGGGGGCTGGAGAGACGGCTCATGGTTAAGAGCACTAGCTGCTCCTGCAGAGGACCTGGGTTCAATTCCCAGCACCCAGTGGCAGGTAACAATCAACTGTGACTCCAGTTCCAGGGGATTTGACGCCCTCTTCTGAACTCTGTGGGCATTGCCCAACATGAGAGCACTTACACGCATGCAGGCAATACACTCATACAAAGTGGGGGCTGGAGAGACGGCTCATGGTTAAGAGCACTAGCTGCTCCTGCAGAGGACCTGGGTTCAATTCCCAGCACCCAGTGGCAGGTAACAATCAACTGTGACTCCAGTTCCAGGGGATTCGACGCCCTCTTCTGAACTCTGTGGGCATTGCCCAACATGAGAGCACTTATACGCATGCAGGCAATACACTCACATGCATAAAATAAAAATAAAATTAAAAAACAAAACAAAACAAAGTGGATAGTAACTGAGGAATGACAGCTGAGGCTGCCCTCTACAAACATGTGCATGTGTACCTCACGCACATGAACACGCATGTACACACACACACACACACACACACACACACACACAGCCAACAAAACAAAAACCAAAGAGCAGCATGGTAGCCTTTCTTTATTACAAGGTGAGGAGGGAGCTTTCCAGCTCTGGGTTGGGTAGGATTTGGGGCTCATTGCTGAGCGCTGGGTTATAGTTTATTTCATTTCTTCTGGGTCATTTCTGTTAAAAAGAAAAATGGTGAGGGCTGGAGAGATAGCTCAGCGGTTAAGAACACTGACTCTTCTTGCAGAAGACCCAGGTTTGAATCCCAACACCCACATGGCAGCTAACAACTGGCCATAACTCCAGTTCTAGGGGATCCTACAGCCTCTTCTGTCCTCCACAGGCATTGCATGATACAGGTGAACTTACCTACATGCAGGCAATACACACATACACATATAATAAAAATAATAAATAAAATATTAAATGAAAAGAAAAATAGTTTAGACCACTATGCAAGTTATAGTCACACCTCCTTCCCACGCACGTCAAGAAGTTGATGGGGGGTCAGTTACCCCTCCCACCCAGTCAGTTGACCTTAGCTGCATGTGGGGGAGGGGCTAAGGATATATAAGCTGAGAATGCCATGAGGCACCTCTCTTGCCATTTTAAGCAGCTGTCGGGAAGTCACAGGATCTATATTTGAGTGTGGACTTTCCAGCGCAGCCATAAATTGGGGGGGGGGAACCCATCATTTTGTAAATAAACCCCTACCCTATGCTCTGTTAGCAAACCCAAAAAACTTTTTAAGATTTAAAAAAAAAAAATAGAATAGAGCTAATGGAAATCATCATTTTCCCACCAAAGTTGACCCCATGTTGGCAAATCCTTTGGTCTCTGATTTCTTATTCCTACTCTCCCTCCTTAAACTTCATTGTATATATATTTTTATGTACTCGTCTTCAAGTTATTTCTGGAAAAAATGTGTTAAAAATTGTCTCTCACCAGGTGTGGTGGCGCACGCCTTTAGTCCCAGCACTTGGGAGGCAGAGGCAGGCAGATCTCTGTGAGTTCAAGGCCAGCCTGGTCTACATAGTGAGTTCCAGGACAGCTGGGGCTATAGGGAGAACCTGTCTCAAAAAGACCAAAAAAAAAAAAAATTGCCTCTCTTTGAAATAAAAAATAAATAAATAAAATCACACACTGATATCTAAAAAAACAAAAGAAAAATGGAAGACAATTTAAGCAAAGAAGTCAAACAAATGCTCAAACCAAAAACCTCACGTCCACGCTTACTCCAGGATAATGAATTCATGAAGAGCCTTGTGCCTCACCTGCCACCAAGACCATGGTCCCAGGAGTAAATACTGAGATAACCTGTTCCCACCATCCTCACTGTGCATGGGAGAGCACTAAGGACACAGTCAGAGCCTGGAACACAGAGCACTGAAGGGGGAGAGAGGAAAGGATGATCTTGGTGCTCTCTGGGGAGCTTCCTGGAGGAGGTGGCTGGTTCCTATCAATCAGTATCTTTTTTTTTTGGTCTTTTTGAGACAGGGTCTCCCTGTAGCCCCAGCTGTCCTGGAACTCACTATGTAGACCAGGCTGGCCTTGAACTCACAGAGATCCACCTGCCTCTGCCTCCCGAGTGCTGGGATTAAAGGCATGAGCCATGGCAATCAGTATCTTCTTTAAAAACATTTTATTATTTTTATTTTATGTGTATGATCATATTGCCTGCAGGTATGTAAGCGCACCGCTGTCGTGCAATGCACTCGGAGGTCAGAAGAGAGCGTTGGATCCCTTGGAACTGGAGTTACAGATGGTTGTTAGCTGCCATGTAGGTGCCGGGAACTGAACTGAGTCAGTGCTCTTAACCACTGAGCTATCTTCTCCAGCCCTCAATCAATATTTTACAACTAGAGACACAGCCAGCAGCGGCAATTTCCAGAGTACCCATCACCCCTCAACTCCAATGGAGGGGGACTGGAACCAAGACCCTCCTAAGAAGCCAAAATCTGTGGACACTCAAGTCACTTGTACAAAATGGTGTCGTATTTGCACAGGACCTAGGCAGTCCTCCTGTGTACTCTGCCTCATTTCTAGGTGAGTTATGGTACTTAGTGCAATGTGAGCACTCTGTAAGTACTTGTTACACTGTATTGTTTGGGGAATAAAGACAAAAATAAGTGCAATATTTTCCCCAAATCTTTTCCATTTGCAGTTGGCTGAATCCACTGATGCAGAGAGCCCACAGCATCAGCCCTAGGGGGCAGCTGTCCCTTCTGTGCTCCTGCAGAGGCTGATTGGGTTGGGAGTCACTGAGCTTGGCCTGGCTTTGGAGCCTCCATGTTCAGTTGGCACCCAGGATCCTCAGCCCATATGTCCCTAAAAGCACATGTGTGTTGACACTGCAGAGACTCCTGAAACCCAATGACAGTCAGGCAGGATGTGACAAAGACTGGATTGAAGGGAAAAGCTGGAGGAAGACAGGCCCAGGGGTTAAGGCCACAAGATTGGGAGGGCTGGCTGCCAAGGTGGGGGACAGTTTCAAGCCTGGTCACTTAGATTAGGGTCAAAGTGACCTTCCAGAGCACCAGCCCCTCCCATGTTTAGTAGTAGGAAACCCACTACAAGGCTAGACAGATACTCCTTTTGAGTGACAATATCTGTGACAAGCAGATGGGCCCACTGATAAGTAACAAAGGTGGCAAATTTCCCCCTTCTTCTCTTGAGACAAAGGCTTTCTGGCAGGGTTCCTCTTCCGGCTGGCCAGTCCAGACCAGTTTAGTTAAGGCCAATATTGGACATATCTCAGCTTGGAGCTATAACCTATCAGTTCTCTCGCTTCTTTAAGTTGACCAATCCAAAATTAGGGGAGCATCCCTATACCACCCCAAACACAAGTTTTTCAGTTTCTGAGCCCCTCTCCACATGTGGGGAGTTTTATGTGTTTCTTTACTTTTAATAAAGGTTACCTGTTGTATCTGAGATTTTTCCTGCATTTTAATTCTTTAATTGGTGGAGAAAACGAATCAGATCAAGACCACTAGACGGTAATATTTCCCTAGCTGCCTTCCCTCTAGGCATCAGGGCTGGGCATGATTCCAGGGTAGACTTAATCCCTGGAGGTGCTCAGGCCAGGGGACACTAATGTGCCAGAGATGGACAGGCCAAGCTGAGGTCAGCCTAGGCCTTGGATGCTGGCCTGGAGCCCACTCCCCACTCTACAGCAGAGCCTGGTGGCCTGGAGCCCCTCCTGATGTACTGTAGGCTGCAAAGTTGGTGTTTTAAGGGTTTAGCAGTCCTGTGAGTCACCTCTTCATCTCACAGATGAGGCCCTTAGCGAGCGCTGGCCCAGCTGAGGAGGGGAAACGTGTGTCCACCCTGCAACTGGGCTCTCAATTCTCTGAGTAAAAGGCTCTGAGCGCTCATCCACCTAATAGTCCGCTACAGCTCAGGAGGACGCCCAGTTGAACACTTAGTTCCTCTAAGGCTGCAGAGGCAGCACAGCCTCTGATTTCAGAATCCTGC